ACATGTTGGAGGATAGATGGAATCGAGCATTCACGATCATATCAAATGGAGGTTGGCGGAATTGTGGAGTGAAGCCTATGCAATTCAAATTGAAGATCCAAGTTCTACCTTTATCTGCAAGTGTACCAAGTTAAGCTACATCGAAGATCTATCAAGCTTGGGTATATTTAGTTTAGGTTTTATATTATGTGTGTTAGTACTTTAAGCTCAATCAAATATATACACATGTCAAAACATCAAATTTCATGTATATCACATTTTTATGTTTTGGACACACTTGCAAAATACATGAGTGTTCACAAATAAAAAATTTTATTTAAGAAATTCTTTTTCTAACATATTCAATTTCATGTTTATAAATGTTTTCCAAAGTTTTATAAATTTTGTAATTAATTTTTTATGATTATTTGAATTTACAAAATCAAATTTTTAATAAGTTCATGTTCGTGCACATGTTCGTGCATGTTTTTGCAAAACAGATACGTTTTCACAATCGGGAAATGTGATTTGAAAATTTTCTTCATTTATATGTTTATCTTCATATATACAAACACTTCCCCAAGTTTACTAATCTTGGAGTTGTTTTGTTATTTTTAATTGAATTTACAAAACCGATTTTTCTGCAGCTTTTTTCCAGAAACTATATATCTGTGTTCAAACATTTATTTCTCTCAACTGAGAAGTGATATTTTAGAAATTCTTTCTCTAACATGTTTATCTACATGTCTAGAACCTTCTCTCAAAATTTAATGATTTTTGGTGTTGATTTACTATTTTTAATTGATTTTACAAAGTCGGATACACAAAATTCCAAAATCTATCAAAATTAGAAACTGTCCGTGAACAGTGTGGTCGACCGCTACTGTCGACCATGCTACAGTGCGATCGACCACCACGGTCGACCGTATGCAGTCCAGAGAAAAATTTTGTAGTTTTATTTCTCGCGATCGACCGTCACGGTCGACCGCTGAAGTTACCGTTGCACAGTAACAATAACTTGCTGAATTTTATCTTTTAGTGGTTTTTTGGGGTTTTAAGGGTTATTTTCTTCTACCCTATATATACCCTCATTGCATTTATCATTTCATACACCATAAGAGATGTTTTAAACAAGTTTTTATAAGGGTTTAAGTTTGTTTAAGTGTTTGTTTACAAAAGTAGGTTTGTGAAGATTGTTTCACAAGAATAGGAGATCAACTTGGGTTTGAGCTTTCAATTTCACATCTCCATCTCTCTTGTTCTAGAGAAGTTTTTCTAAACTCAATTCTAGCTTTGCATTTATATTTGTTATTGATTATTATCTTCATTAAGCTAGATTTATATTGAGTTTACATTTGATTTTGTTGTTTCTCATTGTTTCCACACACAACCATTGAGCTTTAGTATTTTACACATATTGTATATTTGGATTATGGGGAGTGTATCATTGAGAGTGAGATACATTGAGTTCTCATCTATTATAGAGAACAAATCATATATTATATTGTGAGATTTTAAAGTTTTCGGTTAACTAGAAAACCGAGTGTGTAGTGGAGATCTCCTCGAGGTGAGGAGCGGAGACGTAGGTCGTAGGGACCGAACTCCGTGAATAAAATTATGAGGTGTAAATGTTATTCAGGTGAGCGTAGAAAACCCGGTTGTGATAGATGATTTCTCCCCGTGAGTGGGGAGCGGAGACGTAGGACGGAAGGTCCGAACTCCGTGATCATTTACTTGTGTTTGAGTTTGCTTTGGCGTTTCATTTGTGCTTAGTGTTTATCACATTCTTGTCGTCGTTGTCAATTACCCTATCACATTTGTAAACTGTTTATTTCACCCTTGTGTTAGTTTATATATCCTTGCATATATTTCATAGTACATCTCATTGCTAGGATATATTCATTTGTTCATATTGCTTATTCTTGCTTATAACATATTGTACATCTATCTTGCAAGAAGAATAGTTTGAATTAGTTTTAATTAGCATAAAATCAGATTAGATTAGCATAAGACCCTAATCACCCCCCTAGGGTTTAACACAACTTTTGATGAGTTTCCTCGTAAAATGAGAAATGAGGAAATAAAGAATCCTAGTTCATCATCTACAGTTAAAGAATTATTTGTTCAAAGGAGAATTATGCCTATTATAGAAGACACACCATATCAAGTTAATGAACAATTAATTCAAAATGAAATAGATGATGAACTTCCTCGTGTTGATGAAATTCATGAGGTACCGGTTATCCAAAATCAAGAAAATTTGGATAATCAAGTTGAACTAAGAAGATCCTCTAGAATAGAAAACCAACAAACCTAGTGACTACGTCGTACGTATGTCTTCAAGAGTCTAATACTGATGTAGGACCTAAAATGATCCTACTTCGTTTTCACAATCCATTAATGGAGAAAATTCTAATTTATGGCTTGATGCCATGAAAGAAGAATTAGAGTCTATGGAAAAGAATAAAGTATGAGATCTCGTTGAATTACCGAAAGGAGTCTCAGTTGTTGGTGAAAGTACCCTAATGCCACTAGGAAGGAATCCTAGAGGGGGTAAATAGGGTTTATGCTAATCTAATCTGATTTATGCAATATTAAAACTAATTAACAAATATATCCTAGCAAAAAGATATGAACAATATATGTGCAAGGATATAGAAGTTAACACAAGGGTAAACAATCTAAACCAAATAGTGAGCAATATAAATAACAAGAAATATACAAAGGCGATAGAAGATATGAACATAAAAATAAGTGTGTCAATGCAATCACAAACAAACGATATGTTCACGGAGTTCGGTCCCCACGACCTACGTCTCCGCTCCTCACCTCGAGGAGATCTCCACTATCACACTGGGTTTTCTACGCTTACCCGAAAAACGTTTACACCTCACAATATCGGTTTTTAACGCTCACCGATCAATGTTCATAATCACTCACAATATAACTACACTAACTACCACCTCAAGTGTTGGTCTCTAGCACATATCTCCCTCAAGTTTTAGAAATTATTATCTTTTTCTAGGCATTACGACCTACCCCACTCCTCTTTAAACGACATCGTCTCACACCACACACTCCTCTTGGTGTACTAGTGTAATATAAAGTGAATCCTTATAATTAAAGCTCACAAGTCAAATGATTATTCTCTAAAAAAGATGAGAACTCAATTAAGTACAACTCAAAGTTACAATCTCTCACAACCCCAATTATACTATGTATGAAAATACTAGAAGCTCAAGTGGGTGTGTGTAACAATGAGATTTAATAAAACAAACTAAACTCAATTAAATCTAGCTTATGGAAATTATGAACAAAACAATAAATAGCTAGAAATAGAGTTTAGAAAAACTTCTCTATGATAACAAGAGAGAGGGAGAAGAGTTGAATGCTCAAACACCAATGGATGATCTCTTCAAGCTCTTGTAAAAAAATTTTCACAAACCAAACTTTTAAACACACTTAACGAAAAGTTAAACCCTTAAACAAACTTGTAAAACTTTTTTAAAACTTTTCTCTTCTTTGTTATGAACTGAGGATATGTGGGGGTATTTATAGAAAACCCCAAAGCCAAGAGAAAACCAACAAAACCAGCAAAAAAACAAAAACAAAAAAGCTAGAAAAAACTAGTCGTTGGGCCATCAGTCGACTGATCAGTCAACTGATAAACTGACCGTTAGAGTCAGCATCTAGCTCGTCGGTCGACTAATGACTTGATTGGTCGACTGATGACATCATCAGTCAACTGGTCAGTCTACTAAAATAAAACAGAAACTTTTTAACATTCCAGGCGATTTCTTCAGTCGACTCATCAGTTGACTGATGTCATCAGTCGACTGATGTCATCAGTCGACTGATAAAATGTTTATCAGTCTGTTTTGAAACCGAAATCTGATTTTCAAACTGCCTTTAAAAATAACAAATAAAATCAAAAAAATATAAAACTTTGGAAAAAATTTATAGACATGATAATAAACATGCTACAAAAAACTAGTTTTCAAAAAAGCACCTCCCAAATGAGAAATCTCTTTATTTTACAGAATAGTCCAAAATATAAAAATGAAACATACTTGTTTTGACATTTTGTCTACACCATGTTTTGAAATTTCATAAACTAATTTCATAGACTTAATAAAAAAAATGTATGTTATGATTGTTAAGTCTATAAACAAATAAACAATATTTTTCACAAAATAATTTTTGTATAAACTTGAAAACTATAACATCAAATATATATATATATATACTATATATATATAGGGTAATATATCATATAGTATATATATATATATTAGTATATATATATATATCATATATATATATATATATAAACCAAAACATGTATGTATGTGTATATGATATTGAGCTTAAAGTATCTAACACACATAATATAAAACCTAAAACTAAATTACCCAAGCTTGTGATCTTCAACGAAGCTCTATCTTGGTACAATTTGCGGATGAAGCTTGAACTTAGATCTTCAACTTGAATTACAAGGCTTCACACCACAATTTCCGCCAACCTCCATTTGATATGATCGTTATAGCGTAATTTCATTCATCCTCCAACATATTGTTTTTCTAGAATAAATACAAAACACAAACACTAGACAAACAATATTAGTTGTAAATTGTTTATTAATCATCATCAAAACAAAAGGACCCAACAATCTCCCCCTTTTTTATGATGACAAACAATTTACAAAAAGAGATATATGCATGGAAGGAAATTAATATGTAAATTAGAATTATCTTGCATATAACCAAAACAATATATACTCATAATATTTCTCCCCCTTTGACAATATCAAAAATCGGTGACAACGAGATATACTCATAATATTTCATCCATCCTCCATTTAATTTTTTTTTCTTTTTTCTTGCTTTATTGTGAGGAAATTTCTTTATACTCTTCTGAAAAGGCACCTTATATTCCTTTAGTTGTTCATACATTCTTCATTTCCTTAGAAACAAATAATCTGTGATAATTTAGAATTTCTTTTTCCTCCTTGTATTTTTAAAATGGCTCTAATTTCTTCCAGTTGCCATCTCATTATTGAATTCCTATTGATGATCCTGATCAGGTGCTGCATACTCTGCTCAGGACAGTATTTGAATGCCTCTTTTGTTTTTGGGGATTCATTGGTTGATTCTGGGAATAACAACTACATTGTATCTCTCTCTAAGGCAAATTACTTACCAAATGGAATTGATTTTTTACCAACTAGGCATCCTACTGGTCTATACACTAATGGAAGAACAATCGCTGATATATTAGGCATGTGCATTGTCACAATAACATATTTTTCTTTTGTGGAAGATAAAAGATGTTCATGATCTGATTACTTTAGCTTGTTTTTTCAGGTCAAGAATTGTGTTTACCCAGGTTTACACTACCTTATCTGGCTCCAAGTACTGCAGGATCTACAGTATTGAATGGCGTCAATTATGCATCTGAAGGAGGAGGGATCCTCAATGAGACAGGCCAATTGTTTGTAAGTACTAGATTTCGTTACTCTCTTCGATTTTCCATTTTTTTTCATTTTTATGCAGAATTAAATTGATTTTTCTAGGCGTTTCTTGTACCTGACATTACTTGTTTTTTCTTGACAGATTTTTTATGTTTCTGTAAAATCTTAGTGCCATCTTTCCTAACAACATAAGCATCATCGTGAATCATCATAAGAATATGATACATAAATGTGTATGTTATGTTGCAGGGTGGACGCATCAACTTAGATGCACAGTTAGATAACTATGCTAACACAAGGCAAGAGATCATCTCAAGCCTAGGGTTGGCTTCAGCTTTGACACTGCTTCACAAATCCCTTTTCTCTGTTATTATTGGTTCAAACGATTTCATCAACAACTACCTCGCTCCATTGGTCTCGATACCTCAGAGAGCAACAACGCCTCCAGAAACATTTATCAAAGATCTTATATCAAAATATAGACTTTAGTTAACAGTAATTCTTCACTCTTACTTATCATTCCTTTTTTATACCAAATTGTATCTAACTTGTAACTGTATATTTGGTGATGTTGTTGAGATTATATAACCTGGATGCTAGAAAGATTGTCGTCTCAAATGTGGGTCCTATTGGTTGTGTTCCTTATCTAAGAGAAATCAATCCATCGGTGGGAGCCAATTGTGTGTCATTCCCAAATCAATTGGCTCAACGATTCAATGAGAGATTGGAGGACCTTGTTAAGGAGTTGAGCTCAAACCTTGAAGGATCTCTCTTCGTATATGCAAATGTTTACCCTATAGTTTTGGACATTGTTCAAAATTATACCAGCTATGGTAAGTTGTACTCGTCCTGTATATTGATTCTCTATAAGTTGTTCAGAGTTTTTAACGGGTTTGGTTTTTGCAGGATTTGAGGTCTCGGATTCCGCATGTTGCTTTGTTTCGGGGAGATTTGGAGGTCTATTACCATGTGGACCGACTTCAAGGGTTTGCCCTGATCGATCCAAGTATGTGTTTTGGGATCCTTATCATCCTTCGGATGCTGCAAATGTGACTATTGCCAAGAGATTATATGATGGTGGGCAGGATGATATCTTCCCAATGAATGTTCGGCAACTTGTTCAAGCTTAAGAGTTTGGATTCAGAATTATTGGTGGTTTTAGGATGATTGATTGATGATAATCCATGAACAGAATTGGTCTTCATATCTGTATGTGTTTGTGTACTTTTAGCTAAATCTGAACGATGTACAATGTGTAGCAAGTTAACATTCATCCACAGTGCATCTCTGCAGTTGCAAATTATGTGCTAAAGTCTACTTGAAATGAAATCCTTAATAATAGAGTATTACTTCATGCTTATTGCCAAGGGGCCCATTTAAAAGTCTAGGTCCTTTTGTCGTTCAACTCTATTTGTAATTATTTTTCCACATCTCTGAAGAATTGTACTAGCTTTGCTTCGCAAGAGAAGAGGAAGATTAAACCTACTTTAAAGAAGAGAAATTATATAATGTGAAATTTTAATTAGTTTTGCTGTTTCACACATAGATTTGTTTGTCGAATCTATATTACGGCATTCAGGTTTCAGCAACCCATATGGTTCTGATATGAACATCTATAGTACGCTCGTGTGATCTAATTTGAATATATTTTTCCAATCACAAGAAAGATATTGAGTGGCACTATAGGCACAACCCCAACACACGGGGTCTACTTTAGATTTTTTTAAAAAAATCTAAAGTGGACCCTGTGCACTGTAGCTGAGAGAGGGGGTGTGACCCAAGGTGTGGTTGGGGGTGTGCCCGTAGTGTTTTCCAAAGATATTATACCAAGATGAGCTGTAGATGCTACTTAAATACGTTATTTGGATATTAGACCCTTGCATCTTTAGTGATTCCATGTTAGTCCTTTTTAGATCTTTAAAATTGATCGTAAGTCCCCCAAATCTAACAAAAATATCCCTCAGCTAATGATTTGGATTTGGCAAAACATGGAATGAGGGGTGTTATGGTTATCGAGGAGGGACCAAGTTGGAAGACCTCTTAAGATGTGAGGGATTATGAGCAATTTCAAAGATTTGAGAGACTTCAAGAATTTGAGGGACTCATACCAAATATCCTTTTTAATTTTTAAATGGGTAAATTACACTTCAATATACTATTGTTTATCCAATATTGCAAATAAATACCCTCAGTTGTGAATGAACTCACTTAGATACTCTCAAAGTTTCCAATAGTTTCGCGTCAATACCCTTGGTTATGCAAACGTGATTAGCTCTCACAAAAATGACCATTTTAACCCTTTTATTTTGTGAAATCTAGCGCTAAACCTATTAAAATTCTATTTTAAACATATCCGAATTCTATGTTAAAGTTGGATTTTGATAGGTTCAACGATAAATTTAACAAATATTAAGTATTAAATAATCTAAAATTAATATGTAAATGCTGCATGAGAATTTTCAGAAGGGAATTCTCACGTTCGCAGCATAATAGATGGCACTAGCGCGTCACTTTTAGAATCTTTAAAAAAATTTTAAGTGAAATTATTTAAACTCCCTGACCCAGCCCATGATCACCGACCTCGCCCGCGCCTTCAAAACCCTAGACGCCGACGATACGGTCACCGTCATCGTCATCACCGGAGAAGGCCGCGCCTTCTGCTCCGGCGTCGACTTGACCGCGGCGGAGGAGGTGTTCAAGGGCGACGTCAAGAACCCTGACACCAACCCTGTGATTCAGATGGAGAGATGCAGGAAGCCCATCATCGGCGCCATCTCGGGGTTCGCCGTGACCGCCGGCTTCGAGATCGCGCTCGCCTGTGATATCTTGGTCGCTGGCAAGGGCGCCAAGTTTATTGATAGCCATTCGAGGTAAGCGGTAACTTTGCCCCTTTGTGAATTGGAGTTTACAAGTCTTTTGACTGCTGCTTAACTTCAAAATCCCCAGTATTTAGTCGTAAACATGGATAAACTTACCATAATTTGTGAAATATGGGCATTTTGAATAAGTGGAAGTGGAGATGAGAAGGGAGCACATTATTCATATTTCGAGTAGAAAACAAAGAGAATGAGAACGAAATATATGACGGATTAGGCATTTTGATAAGTGGAGGTTTCTGTTTCTTAACATATGTGCATATCTTGCTCGTTTGAGCAACACATTCGTCGCCGTGAGCCACATTTCTACTTTTATTGTGTTTCATATGCTAAATTGACCCATGTGGAATAGTCAAGCAATTAGGTAAGAATATAGATCAGTATTAACCAAGGGATCAGATACTTTAATACTAATAAGAAACTAATAAAAGTCAGATACTTGAACTTCGGTATTTAACAATGATAACGGTTACAATAAAACAAATAACTATAACTCTTCTCTTCCCACACC